GCTCTGTCTTCGACTACTGCCCGAGTGGGTCCGGTCAGGCGACGGGGCGGAACCTAGCTGTAATAAGGTTGCTGTGAACCATGTGGACCGTTCGCTCGATACCCTTAGATGCTTTTCTGCTTCCGAGAGAAGGTTCAGTGCGTGTTTTAGCCTGTCTAGTTCTCGTTCGGACACTGTAATAAAATGCAATTAGTTACTTTTCGAACATAATAAAAAAAAATTGAATTGCTAAAACACTACCCCTTATTATTTTGATCGGCAGAAACCCCCCTACGATTCATTTTTTTTAGCACACGACCCCTAAACGGCGGGTACTAATTGCTTGAAAAATTAAATCATAGGGTAATTTTTTTAGCCGTTCGATATAACAAAGAGGTACCAATTGCAATAAACTCGAATTAAAAACCCGTTAGATATATATACCTCAAGAAGCTACTTAATTGTTTCGCTAACGATAATCATCTTGAATTTTACGGAATCATGCAAGAAATCAAGAAAACGTAACGAGTATACCATATTTTACTACAAAGAAACACGTGGCAAGAAATGGCATCGAGTCAACATAAACCCGTTTTTTGTAGTGTTTACATTTTATCGAACGTGGCATTTATTTCCTGGAATGGATTATGATCGAGATTCAATTTTCGTGTTTCTATAAAAGATCGAAACTTTATGTGATTCAGATCGAAAAATAAAGATTTACTATAAAGATTAGTTTCGACACTCACAATTTCTTCCACCGAAGAAGGAATCGTGCTTCCCGTCGGAATTCGGATAAGTCCCGGCAATAATATCGACAATAAGTGTTGCCATTTGAGACATTAAAACTATCGGGTCAACTCCACAGTCCATCAATTCTCTCGCTCTAATCACAGTCTCCGTCGCATTCGACGCCATGGCTAACTCCAATAACTCCAATAACTTCTCGTCGGAAACAACCCCGATCTACGTAACAAACGACACATGATTATTTTCAGTAAAAACACAATGTTTAAGACAATGTACGTATTTTAAAGACGAGTAAACTCACGAGTTCGTTGACCAACGAGACGGTGATTCTCTTCCCAAACAAACTCAACTGATCGACCGTTGTCTCCGCATCTCTCAACGAACCATCCGCGTTCGAAGCAATCATTTCCAACGCATCTAAGTCAACGTCCAAATTCTCGTCACTAACGATTTTCCTCAACCGACCCACAATTTCGCTACTGCCGATCTTGTTAAAAAGATGCTTCTGACACCTGGACAAAATCGCCCTCGGCACGTTGTCTGCATCGGTCGTAACGAGTACAAAGACGACGCGTGCAGCGGGTTTCTCGAGCAGACGGAGGAAAGTCAACCAAATCTTCGACGGCAATAAATGGCACTCCTCGACAACAAAAACCCTAAATTTCGAATCCGAAGAAGACGACGACAAGTGGCTCTTCAGAAGCGACTTGATATTCTCGATTCCCTTCTTACTCGAACCGTCGGCTTCTAGAAGGTTCCGGCTCTTTCCGGACATGAAATCGGAACACTCTCTACAAACCCCACAAGGCTTAGTCTCGTTCGACGCTAAGCAATTCAATGCAGCGGCGAAAATTCTCGCGGCCGAAGTTTTTCCGGTCCCACGTGGGCCTTGGAAGAGATAAACGGGGGAAATTCTCCCCCTCGAGATCGTATTAATAAGAGATTGCACGACTATATTCTGACCAATCAATTCCTCGAAAAACATCGGCCTATATTTATGGCTCAAGCTTCGCACATTCTCGGGCGAGCTTTCGTCTTGTACTTCATCGTTCATAGCAACCATTTCTAGACCTTCTTGGCTTCTACAGCTCGAAGACCATCTTTTTCCGTCCAATCGGCTCAAAGGCTCCAAATCGATCT